TTGCACATAGCAATTGAGCTGCACATATGCTGATTTAGTGATTGTAGTGGTCAGCATATTGTCTGAAGATGGTGGGTGTCTTTCGCAAACACTTACTGGGATTTCTGGCTTTGAAGATGTAGAGCTGTGTGGCAAAATTTAGCTTACAAACATTGGCACTTGCTGTGATACCAGATAAATTTCAGAGAAATGCTTTCAAGCTGTGGAACAACCTCAGGTCTATTACTGATTTGAATGGCTTGTTTATCACAAGGCAAATTACCTAGCACTAATCACTGAAGTTGAAGTCTTCTGTATTTAGTATCTTTTTAATTGGCTTCCTTCTGTTATATGTTTGGACTTCTTTAACAAGCATACACATATACTTCTAAAGTATTTTTTCCATCTTTGGATATCACCAGGGCACAATGTTAAGTTTCTTAATTCCAGCTAGCTCGAGACATAGCTGCCTCTGCCCTTGTTTCTGCTGGATCTTCCCATCTGTTGTTGACCTGGGATTTCTGCTTCAGAATTTATTGTTCTATTGGAAAGCAATTATAAAGCATCTAGCAAAAACAAAATAAGGGATGCTAACACTGTTTACTGTGGTGAAATTTATAACAATATGGTGTTTGCCTTACTGTGTCAGAGTGCTGAACCAGCAAGCCTGGGTGTCTTGGATCCCACTACTGCAGTGCGTTTACCTCAGCTCTCTAGCTAAGCCATGTGATGTGGGAAAGGGGAATGAAGTCAATAGAACAACATCTTGAGGAATGAAACTCAGTATTATTTAGCCTCATACCTTAAGGTGGCCTTTTTGGTCAGCAAACAGCAGTGCTGGATACTGTATACAGAAACAGGTCCACTGAAAGCTTCTTGAGTGTCAAATGTTAGCGTATTGGTACAGAGGTTTATTTTTCTCATGCCTTGATCTTACTTTTCTATTTAAATTGTATATTCTTCAGGATGGGGACTCTCTCCAAACACACCTTAGTGCCAGTAGTGATGTGGGCCTTTGGGCTCACTATGTAATCTTTGTACCACTGGGAATGGTGGGTGTATCTGGGCTGTGGTGCAACTCATGATAGTGTCCCTGACAGCAACATAAGCAGTTGTACCAGGTTTTGGTGCTCAACTACCTCTGACTTAGATTTTTTTGAGAAGATAAAAGGAAAACATTCTCATGGTGGAATGGTGGAAGGCTTCACTGTTCACAGGAATGCTCACTTACTTTTGAGTGCAGTGTTTGGAAGGCTCACGTTCCAAACCCACTTGTTTCTCTCTGCAGATGTTTAGTAATGGGGAGAAGAGCAAGAAAAACATTGTTAACCCGTTTCCATCACCTCATGGAGTGGAAGAGGCACTTTTGCTCTCTTTTCAGGGGAGAAACTTAGTGGATCAGCTTAGGCAACCAGCTTTTATTCTCACTGTTGCTTTTTGTCTCCTATATCTATTTGCTCCTTAAATTTTATTCCTGTGCTTTAGGAGGTGCTTTTGTCTTTTAGACAAACTTTTTTAGTTTTACCAGCAAAACTCTAAACAGATGAAGAAATCCTGAAGTCTTAGATCTTTTCAGCAGTAAATTGTTTTTATTGGTGTCACCACCAGCTATGTCAATTTGTACTAAAATCTAACAACTCTGGTTAAAAAGCACTGGAGTACAGCAAGAAGTGTTTCTCTTCCTTTCTGCCCTGGAAAATTTTACTTCTGGGCTGGGAAACTAAACTAGATTCTATCCACTGTGTTCTGCAATTTTGGGCACTTCTTTACATTTTTGTTTAAAGTCTTCCTCTTCACAACACTTCCTGAAATACCTTTACATTGAAATAAAGAAAGAACTAATTTTCCCCTTTCTTTTAGGGGGATATAGCATCTGCATGGTATTGTATAGCATGCATAGCTTTCCTTTCCATATGTAAAAGAAAAAAGCCAGGGAAGGAAAATTATTTTGGCTCATAGAATCTACTTTTCCAGGGGCTGTTTTTTCAGTAGGTTTTCTAAGAGAGCTTCTTAGGGATTTAGAATCTGGAACTTCTTCCCTAGAGGGAAGACTCTTCCCTACAATCAAACAGAGCAATTAGTTAATATTAGTGAAGCACTTTGAAAATGTGAAGTACTATATAAATGTTAGGTATTATGAATATTAGTATTATTCAATTCATAAAGATTTATTTTATTATTATGAACCTAGATTTCCCTTTGCTTACTTGCATCCCATTACTGCTGGAACCAGCCTTAAATGTATTTCTTCATTCTCAGTTGTTTACACTTCCAAAACGTGGACTGCTGTATTTCTCTATGTTTTAGTTGTCTGTTCTTCAAGTAGAAATAGACAGCTATTTGAATTTTCTCAAATGAGTCTTTAATCTACTTTAAATCATTCCCATACCAAGTTAACCAAATTGAAAATAGTATTTTTAACATTACCATTTAGAAGACATCTATAATTGCTTTGGGATAGCTTGCCTTGCACGCTTATATCTAGTTTGTTTTTTGCTAATCTTTGCTACCCCAGGTTCTCTCCATTGCTGTCAGATTATCACACCATATACGAGCCTTTTTTTTTTTACCAAAGGTGAATGTGTCTGTTCTTTTTCCATGTTTCTTGCTTCTCTAGATCATCTGCAAGGTCTCCAGTCTCATACTGTCTTCCAACACCTGCAAATCTAATTAATTTGCTGTCATTTGTATCACCTCCGTTCTCTATGACTTTTCATAAATAATTACCAGTCACTTCATAAATTCATTAACTAATTCCCTTTAGCCCTGAAATATATATCCTTCAGACTAAAGAATTTGTATCTTTTTTTTTCCCTGATAATGTCTTTTAGTCAGCTTTATATAGGCAGGTATTATACATCAACACGGTCTTCATTATCTCCTACTTGCCAATATGCCTTTTAGTTTTCTTTTTTTTTTTTCTCATAGTATATTTTAAAATTATTAGTAGCTTGGCCACTTTGGAATCATTATTGATTTAATCTTCTTCATATATTCATAGACCTGCTTGCTCTTTGGTGTTTCTTTTCCCTCAGTTGACTTGCATGCCTTTGTCAGGATGTATTTTTAAACATTTTTTTGTTTAGGTATGCACTTATTCAGGATTTTTTGCCACCCCTGTTTTATGTCTGTGCAGCATAACAGCCTCTGTATATTCCTACTTAGTTCCTTTTCTTGTATTCCATTTCCAGACCTGGTAATATTTGCAGACTTGGGTCTCTGAACAGTCCCCTTGAGGCTGTATTGGCCACTTCCGAGTTCATATATTTTGTTTTTCAGAGAAATACATCTACTTCACTATGAATGTAGTGTGTTGACAGTGTGCCAGCCTTTTCTCTTAGTAGGAATTGAATATATTCTCCTACTCACCAGGTTGTTATTACTTTGGTCTTATTTTCTTAAAATCCAGCTGCCTCATTCCACTGTCATGTGAAATGATTTCTAAATATCTCTTATTCGATCTTAAAGACAAGAGTCTAAGCAAGAGGCTTCCAGTCTTTATAAGCATACCCACTCTTCTCATCCTGGATTGGCATGCTATCAAGTTACCAGGGACACACAATCAACACATATCCCCATGATATTTCTAAGAGTTCCTTCACTGATAATTAACTCTTTGTAAGGCGAGATCTTTTCACTGCATGGTACTGAAGCACAATGCATGACAGGAGGGCAATAAGAACCCTTTGTATTTCTTGTTAGTCTGCCTGGAACACACCTTTAAACATGTGGGTTTACTCTATTGTATGTATTTGTATACATCTTAATGCAGTATTTAATCTTAATGCAGTATTTAATCTCTTGGACATCTGTAAATTTTGCACTGGCACTGGAATTACAACGTTGTTGCTTCATGTTTCAGCATGGATGGTAGATAATGTTTCTGTTCACAGAGCTGGGAAATATTTAGGCATGACAGAATTACTTAAAGAGCTAAATACTGATTTGACTTTAATTTTTGCTGAGACTTGGAGATTTCCCTATAGTTACTATTTAGTTAAGTGAAGTTGGTTGGACAGAACTAATAAGGCTAGAATATAAAAGCTCACACTCACAGGCTTTTGCATAGTAGATCACATTACTCCTAATTTGTGTATTCCACTTACCTCTGACTACCTGTAAGCAAGTTGTCTTAACTAAATCCTATCTATAAAACCCAGTCTCAGCTGCGTGGATGAAAGGTGGAAAGATAGGTGGAAAATTGGCTGTACCACCAGCCTCACACAGTCCAGCTGGCACACTTGCTAGTGATTAATTGCTTAACATTAACAACCTGGACAGTGGGACAGGATGCACCTTCAGCAAGTTTGCAGATAACACCAACTGTGGAAGTAGTCACTGTGCTGGAGGATAGGGCACAGTGTTCAAGAGACCTTACAGGTTAGTAAAATGGTTTGACGGAAACCTGCTTAGGTTAAACAAAGAGGAATGCCAGTTTCTGCAACAAGGTTGGACCACTCTCATGTAACAGGGCCAACAGGGCAACTTCGAAAGCAGTTTTGCCAGAAAAGGGCTGAGCATCCTGCTGAACATTAAGTTGAACACGAGTCAGCAGTGTGTCTGTGTGCTGAAGTAACCAAACCTTATGCTGGGCCATAATAGAAAAGTTCTGGTCATCAGTTTGATGAAGTGACATGTCCCCTCTGATCAGCTCTGGTGAGACTGTATCTCTAAAGTGCTGTGCCCAGTTTGGGGCTTCACAGCACAGGAGCATTGACAAGCTGTAGGAAGTCTAGCAGAGGCAACCAGGACAGTCAGGGTGCTGGAGCATATGACTGCTGGGGGAGTGTGAGGAAGCTGGGTGCAGAAGTGATGCAGCACAGGTGTTCTGAGTTCTTCAGGTACCTAAGGAGAGGGTGTAGAGAAGAGGGAATCAGACTGTTGTTGGGAGTCAGCAGCAGCAGAGAGATGGTGAAGGCTACAACTCCAGAAATTCTGATCAGCTATACAGCAAACATTTTTTTGCTGTGAGGATGGTCAAGCACTGGAACCAGAGAAGCTGTACAGAGGGGTCAGTTCACTATCGGTGGAGACATTCAAAACTTAACTGGACAAGTGCCTTAAACCTGGTCTAGTTGGCCCTGCTTTGAATGGAGGATTCAGCTACATGACCTCCAGATTTCACCTTTCAACACAGAATACTTCGTAATTCAGCAGTTATTGGAGTAGAGGAAAGAAAGAGTGGACGAACAGTTTTATTTTATTGGAAGAAAATACTGTTACAGGGATATTTACAATTGGAAAGTTAGCATTTTGTAGCATGTCATGAGGACTGCATTTGTGAAACAAGCTGAATCCTGTGAACCACTATACGAAATGATAACAGTACAAGTCTCTCAAACTTTGGGCAGCAAGATGGAGGCTGTATAGTGTGACTTACTCTGTAGATTTGATTCTCTGTGATCCTGAAATGCATGCTATGGATATTACTGTCAGCTGATAAATTCTCTGATTGCCACTTCTCTGTATATATGGCAATCCAGAAGTGTTGCAACTTTTAGTCCCAGTGTTCTGTAATAATGCAGAATCACAAAATATCTGTCCAAAAATGCCTAGCCTCTGATAATGTGGCTTGTCTTCACTTCATTCCACAGGGACAACTTCAGGACCTAGGAAGGATGCAGCTACATTTCCCATGCTGATAGGCAGCAGCACATCCCCAATCCAGCATGACATTTCACGGTAAGTCACTAGGTAATCTCTGGTTTAAAATTCTGCAAACACAACCATCAAATTCACAGAAGTGACTGAATTTCTATGATATTCCACATTAGCACGAGCTGGATAATACAAACTAAAAACTAAAATATCCTTTTGACATTTATAGTATGCCTTAAATTACTTGTTAGAATAAGAAGAGCAGAAATATGCCAAGTTCTAACATTTTAATTTTACTTAGATTTTGAACAGAAAGTATGTTATGTTCCAAGTCCTGACACATTAAATACATTTGTAAATAATTTGAATGGATGGTGTTAACCCCTGTTAGATTTTAAATCCACTTGAAGTTCTTAATCCCCCTGTACTTACCCCCCCTCATATTTTATCAAATGGCATTTCTTTTAAAATGTTTTGTACAAGAGTTGTTTTATGTTTAATGACAAGCAACAAAATCACATTAAGTCAGCAATTCCTGATTATACTATATATCTGCACTAAACGCACTGGAAAAGCAGCATTATCGCTTCTGCTCCAATGAAGAAACAGAAAGCAGCATTGTTGTTACACTTGCGACATGAAAAACAACTTGCCTTCTTTAGGTAGGATTACAGTTCTAGCAGTAAGTGCCTAGAAAAACAGCATACAATCCTTGTTTTTTGTTATCATATCCCACATTTTCTTATAATAATATCTTTAGTTAAACAACAAAGTAAACGAAGGCAAAAGTATGAATTTGCTGTGTTTTACTCTGCTGGTTGGATGATTTTGTGCAGTGGGATTACAAGAATGTGTGTCCATTCTTAGGAAGAGTTAAATGTTTCTCGGAGAATGAGAGGGCTTGAGTCAGATTTAATCTTCTCTTGGCCCAGTGGGCTAGGAAAATGTATGCTTGATATCATCCCTGTATTCTTGGCAGCAGCTGGCAGTTTATTTCTATCTTCTGAGAGAACTTGCAATATATAATAGGTGGTAAACTACTACCAATATTGACAAATTTGTACTTACTTGCTATAGAAACACTTCTTTTTTTCTTCTGAAGGAAGGGATGGTAATTCTGGGAGGATTTAGGAACTGGGGATAGCTTGTGCTCTGTTTCCCATATGTAACTGTATGTTTAAATCCATAGAAACTACAGGTTTGCCTAAGCATTTCTCTTAAAAGCAAGGGTTACCTTTGCAGGGTGGTAATATCAGATAAAGGATGTGTAAAGGTATTGCTTGATACCGTCTAATAGTGATAAGTTGAAATTCCATTCAAGCACTGAGGAGTAGATATAATTATTCACATCATACACAACTGCTCAGAAAAAGGAATTTTATTCAAGAGGATTGATGGTCCATTCTTTTCCACAGAGGGGAGTAAAACATTTGTTGAAATATGCAGTTAGAAATCATATCAGATAAAGTGATCAGTAAAAGGAGTCTGATTAGCTGTCATCCTTAAAGGTTTATTGTACCAGTTGATGACAAATTGTGAAAAATCCTGTATTTCTGGGTGCTGTCTTGCATGCTTCCTTGCTTTCTTTCTCTCTGTTGGTGCTGTAAGTATAATTGACCAGTTTAAGCAGCCATGTTGTGCTTTCCCTTACTCATGGCCTTCTCTAATTGAAAATGGTAAATGGACAAGTATTTCTGTGGAGACCTAAAGCTGATCCTATCCTTCATCAAAAAACCTGCTTGAGCAGCAGGTCAGTCTCAATTTATCATGCAATGGTAATAAGCTTAGACTGCAGGTTTAACTAACTAAATTAATCAATATTGAGAATTATTGCTGCTTTTGTGCCACTAAAGTTAGGTTTGTCAGCATGTTAGTTATAATCTGTGATTCTGGGGAGGGGGAGGGAGTTAACAGCTTAACCACAACAGTTGACCCAAGCCTGAAACTTGCAGCACAAAGCCCTAGCCCAAGAGCGAATTTATTTATTCAGCAGTACGTGTAAACCTAATTACTTCTGACTATTTAAATTTATAGGACTAGATTCAACTCGTGTTTGTGCCAGCTTTAACTAGCACGAACCCTGGCACCCGGCAGTAGCAGCAATGGAAAGCCTGCCAGGGAGAAGGTGTTGGAAAGCGACAGAAGCTCCCTGCCAGCACAAGGCATCAGGGTGCTTACGCAGCTTCTGGGGATGGCTGGCTGGATAAGCAGGCATGGCAGGTAGAAGATGCGATGGCTCGATAGCCTGTCTTGGCAGTGCTCGACTGGAGGCTTCAGTGTGTTACAGCTACCTCCTGCTTGAGGAAGAATCACTGCAGTCCTGCTTTATTCTCTGTCATGGACCAAATCATGTTTGGGACAAGAAATATGTGTCCCTAGAAGGTAAAGTGCTTTGAGAGCCTTAGTGCTAGACCTGTAGAAGGACCAGACTTGCAGAATGAGTGTGCACAAGGTAGTTTCAGTGATATCTCTGAAAGACAAATAGCACTCCTTTACCTGGCATCCTTAGTTGGGCTAATAGTGGACTTGTTTGCCCATCGTGCTTCTACGTATAACAGAGGAGGTATGTTATGCTGAGTGTTAGGAAATACGACATTGCTTTTCATAATAGAGCCAAGCATTGCATGTTTGATTATCCAGTGTTCTTAAGCCAATGTCTACACCTGCATGAGCCCCTTGAAAATATGTTCACAGCAGGTCTGGAAAGCATTTCCACTCATGTACTTATTTATCCAGACCAGAGCCCGTATACTGGGGATAAAAAAAATCCCACAGGTTGGGTTGTGCAAATCTGAACAAATAAGTTTGTTCCTTACCCCTAAAAGCGTAATTCCTCTTGACTGTTTAAACATTACCTTTTTGGTGATTTGGGGTATCTTTTTCGTAACTATCGTTTGCTTAGAAGGAAGACTCGTTTTGGCTGTGAGTTGGAGCTGGAAAGTAGGGGGTCATGGCATTTGTATGCTTTTGTTTAGTAATGAAGTAGTTTTTACATAGACTAGATCTTACCTTGGGTATAATCAGGTACTGATTTCAGCTAAACAAGTGTTGTGCTGCAAAACAGAAATGAGACTGCTCTAAATCAGAGTATTAAGCTTTTTTTTTTTCTACAAAAATGTTATAAATTGTGCCTTGTGAAAGACCATTTAATTTGATTACAGCTCTGGTGCAATTGTCAGGCTCTCCCCACGCAGAAACAGTTGTAGTGTTGAGTTTGGCACAATAAGTCCTATAACACTGCAGATAATCAAGCACTTAAAAAGATACCAGCAAAGGTTGTTCTGCTCACCATGGAAACAGATAATTCTCCTGTAGCATTTTTCACTTCAGGCATCTAAGAAGTGAATTTAAGAAGAGTTAGGTAAATTAAGGGATTGAGTGATAGTCTGGGATTTCAGCATTAAGCCTGTGTTTTCTTGTTGCAGTTTTAAATCAAGAGCTTTAATGCTAGCTGAATCCATTGTCTTGGAGTGAAGTTTCTTGTAGCCATTAAAATAAGTGATTTAGAAGTTCCTGCAATATGAATACTATATTCGAGCCGTATTATTATCTGTTAGACTACAGTGGCCTGTTGGAGTTTTTATAAACAGATTGTAATGTGTAAATTTGTGTTTAGGGACATTTTAAAAACAAAACTATTTACCCGATTGCCCAGCATATCTCAGGTGAATGTGTATTCAGGGACTTTTAAGCAAATTAATATCTGGTGTAAGATATAACGTGCAGAGTTGTATACTTAATAATGCACACTGGAATAGTCTAGAGTAGATCTGTTATGCTGAGTGTTAGGAAATACGATGGTGATAAGATTTAAGCTTTTGCCTTACATATGTGGTGGTTGTCTTTTAGATCTGTGCATGTTGGATGCTTAAATATGGTTCTGCTCTTAAGATGATACAATGAAGTTTCTTTTAGTGTAGAGTCTAAGCAAGCACTGCAAAGAAATAGATACTTTTTTTTCCCCTTAGGATCAGACACCATTCGAGATTCAAAAGGAGAATGAGGAAGATGATGATGATAAAACTTTCATTCCAGATCTAACTTAAGAGCATTTAAAGGCATTAAAAGTTTGGAGTGGAGTGGTGAGTTAGGTGGTGAATGTGTTAGGGGACGTGAGTTTTGCCTTCTCCCTGAGAAAGCCAGCAGCACAAAAAGTCCAATATAGTTCCATATTCAAGTGATAAAACCAGACGTTGGCAAATTAATCTCTCTTATTCACAGTGTAGGTTGTTAATTGTTCTCTCTGCTGGCTGTCGATATAATGTGAAATTTTCATTCCCCATTCAAGATGGAAAAAGTTGTGGCTGAAAATGTTAACATTTGCATTTTTATTTGTTGATTTATTTAAAGGACAGCCTCTCTTACAGCAATCCATCACTCAGTGACACCCCAAATATGAATAATGTATTGTAGACTTGTGGTTACAATGTGTAATAAGTGCCAGAGACGGCAGAAGAATGTTAACTATGTTGCAAATGTAATATTTATCGACTCATAGTTTATTGCTTTTGAGGTTCAATAATACTGACCATAGGACATTAATATCACTTATCTTGATTTTAGTTGGGCACCTCTGTATGTAGAAATAAACCATCTATCTCATACTTACAAAATAAATGTGAATTTTACAGTGCTTTGTAAGAAGTGCATTGTAGATTTCTTTGCTTAGTTCTCACAATTCTCCTTTTCTGCCTTCTCATTTGCTTGTGTTTGACATTGATCCCACTCCAGTTGCCTGAGCACCTCAGCATTCTTCTAGAGGCTTTATCTGCTGGCTGCATTATGCTCTTGTGCCTCTGATGGTGTTTCCGCCAGTTCTCTTGTCCTGTTAAAGACCAGTATGGAAAAAGACTGATAGTTTTCTAATGCTTCTATCTGAAAAGACAGTGCCTGAGAGGCTAAAACAGAGATATCTTCTCTTTTGGAATGGCATGCACAGGAAATCTAATTCATCTCTCTTTTAGAGGATCATGGGTATCAGAAATAGAAGTGTTTAATTAGGTCAACAGTTGTTATTGCAGTCATGGCATTTATTTGCAGAGAATTTTTTAATCAATGAATAGAAATACATGAGAGCAATTTTG